GATGACATCCACACCACAGATCAATCTTAGAGAAATAGGTAGATCCCTTCAACTGATTAAATAAGTCATCAATCCTAGGTAAAGGGTACTTGTTACGTATAGTAACCTTGTTCAACTCCCTGTAATCTATACACAGCCGAAGTGAACTGTCCTTTTCCTTTACAAACAAAACCGGTGCTGCCCTAGGGTGAAGTACTTCGGCGAATAAAACCCTGGCTAAGGGGCTGAATCTGATCCCTCAGCTCTCACATCTCCACTGGCGCCATCCTATATGGTGCCCTAGCAATAGGCGTAGTGCCTGGAGCTAAGTCGATCACAAAGTCGATCTCGCGACTAGGCGGCAATCCCTGGAATCTCCTGAAATACATCCGAAAAATGCTGTACAATTGGTATGTTATCCGATGATACAGTAATCCCCTCCTCCATCTCCTACTCTATCCGAAACAAATAGGTGCTAATGTCCCCGCTAGAATGTGGCATAGCAGCGACGTAAAATATCTTGACTAGGTATGGTGAACACAATAGACCTTTCCAAAACAAATAACTTGAGCATGGCAGTGATAACCAATCCATCTCAAGTATCACGTCATACGTGTGCATGTCCAGGACCAAAAGATTTGTTAGAAATTTGAGTCTACCAATATCTAGTGTCACAGGCCCATCCTCTTATGAGAAATGGCAGTATTGTCCAACAATGTAGCAATATCCTGAGGTCTACTTCATACGTGTCACTAACCAATCCATGAAAATCCCATGTTTCGAAATACTCCGTAGAGCAAAACACATAAGATAAGACAAAATGCTCCACAATCGTCCCATATATTTTTATAGATTATGGTTCTATCCTAGGAATGCCTCCTTCTAAACCAAACCTACCAGATTGATTTACACAAGTTCTCTTATAAACTTCTTGGTAATCAACATGTCTCAACATAACGTACTTATAAGCAATTATCTGTTTACCTGTTCAAAAACCCAATCACTCCACTGTAATAATCACCTATTATCGCAACATACACATCCCAATAAAGTCTTATAAAACCACATGTGTATAAATACAAAAATGTTATCACAAAACACAATAAAGATAGCCAAAACCATGAGTTTACTTTATTAAGAACTTTTCCAAACCAAAACCGTCAAATGAATAAACGTAATATATTCTTTAACATAATAGTGTATGACAGTTAAATAGTACTATTCTTTAAATAACACCCCCACTCCTACTAGTAATGAAAATCATATCACTCCTAGAAGAACATTCATTCTTGAACCCCAGTAACCTCCATCTTGGACGCTCCGGTATCTCCTCCATCCTGAGCTTCTTCGGGGTTTTCCTCTCCACTTGGCTTAGCTTCGAGCACCAACGAGTCATGTTCGATCCACAATATGGTGGCCAATCCCGCACACAAGAAACCTTCCTGGCCTTATACTCCGAGACAACACTGACTGGATACAAGTCCTTGGTCTCCAGCTTTGCCTTCTTGGTTGGCCGTCGTAGAGGAATCGTCAGAGTAACCTTCCTCTTCTTCTGGTCCCTCTTTCCTTTCATCGTGGACCACATCCTTCTCCTAGTGCCAAACATTCTAAAATTACAGAATAAGATTGACATCAGTACTTTCTAAAAGAACCATAAAGGAATTCAATGAATCTTAAACTTAAGCTCTAATCAAGAGATAACGCTACGAGGAAGACTTAATATGAAACACCCTAGAGACACTTGAACCGAGAGTGCTCTGATACCAACTGTGATACCCCTCGGATCCGAGACACGGGTTGATCAGGCCCAGGCCCAAACCCGAGGGATATCGAACAATTAAAGTATTTTAAAACGAACACGGAATATAAAGTAAATTAAAAAATAATATAATAAGCTGAAAGAAACTAAAAGAAAAACCTTGTATCATAATTAGTCTAATTCGATGTTCCAAAACCTCCATAAGTTTACAACTCAAGAATCCATCCATTGGACCCCTTATTCAAATTCTCAAACCGAAACAGAAATGACAGAAATAAAATCTAGAGCTATCATAGAGAAGATTCCTACATAGTCGGAGGAATGAATATCTGTATCTGCTCTGTATGATCAACCTCTAGCTCTGGAATTGACGAGCACCTAAAAAATAAAGGAGTGGGTCAGGCCCACATGCAAGTCATGATCTACTACGATCCAAACAGTAATTCGATACGCAGATACATCCTAGAAAGACTCAACAATATCTAGAGTAGTCCATATATGTATATATAGTACACACTATAGGACGCTCGCTAGTCCAGTAGGTCTGTGTCTCAGCCTGAATAGAAGGCAACATGCGAATACGGACCCGAAGGGGGGCATGAGTACCTAGACCTACCAGGGAACAACACCTATGTCCAGTTATCTATCCTAGGCAATATACGTGTCCTAACCATGGTCCTGAGACTCAAGCTCATACCATGGCACATATAATAAATATATAAAGTCCATACTCCTAATACAAAATATCATCCATCTGTATAGTGGTCTGATATATGTATAACAAATCCAACCTGAAACCATAATAGGTCATTTAATTTATTTGATTGACATGATATAAGTATGTGGTGGACTTAACCTTTATGGTTAATCCATACCTTAATCCAAATTAGATAGGACTTAGTGTTTTGAATTAATCCATTCCCAATATAGGTAGGTCTTAGTGTTTTAAACTAAGCCAGCCTTAATATGACACCGTCTCATACCGGTTCATATATATCCATATAAGTAGGACTTAACCTTTTTATGGTTAATCAAACACATTCCAAATTAGGTAGGATTTAGTGCTTGAACTAATCCATACCTAGTATGTCACCGTCTCATACCGGTACATACAATCCTCCAGTTAACATAGTTGACAAAACAATATTAAATAGTCATCAACCACATTCCACAATATGCACAAGATAAGTTAATTTATATACATAAATATTAGGCATTCAATACCAAGCCTAAAATCCAACTCCAATAATATAAATTGCTACACAATTTGCACACATTTACATTTTCCAAAATAATCTATGAATTGATACAATTTAGTACAATTTAAGTATTAAATACACCCAAGTTAAGCATAGCGAAAATCAGTTAATTCACTATACTTCAAATACTATAGAATTATGATTTATATATATATTTAAATCATACACAACAACCTTGCCAAGCTCCAGTATATAACCCTAGCAAATCCTCCAATATAGTCCACGAATTGATACAGTTAATGAAAATTTAAGTATTAATTTAACTCAAGCTAAGCATAGGTAAGTTTAGTTAATTCCCTATGCTTATAATATTATGGAAATATGATTTTTATATATAATTAAATCATGTCACAAAATCTTACTAAGTTCCAGTGCACAAAATTTACAAAACAGTAAGCAACACCTTAGTTTTTCTTTAACTTTGTATTGCTTCATCCCTTAATCCAACTACAAATTAATGTTTCACCATTATTTTTACAGCTCTACAGTAGTCATCCCTATCCTTTAAGCCAATTTAAACTGATCAAAACACCCCACGCAGTCAAACAGTGCCCAAAAAACAAAACTGGAAGACTGTAGGTGAGAGCAGGCTCTTGAGAAATGCAGAGCCTGCTTTTCTTCAAAAAGAGCCGGCTCTAACCCCTTGAGAGCTGGATCCTAGCAAGGTGGAGCCGGCTCCACACCTTAGGGAGCCGGCTCTTAGGTTAGGAAGAGGTGGCTCCTCCTCCTCTGGAGCCTGCTCTTCTCTCCTTAGATGTCGTCGACTGTTTCTGTGTCTTTTCCTCCAACTCCGGTGATTAACGGAGCCTCTGTGATGTGTCTAAATCTTTGTTCTAGGTTTAAACTCAGTCTTAGATAAATTTTAAATCATTGATATGCAATGATAGCATGCATAGAACATAGGTTTAAAAGCACTGATCACAGAAACTTAGTCTGAAATTGTAAGCAACCCACAACAGATTAATTTGGTGAATTTGAGCACTGTTTTAAGTACTTATTCTAGAGCTCTTTTAATGTGTCAGACTAATCCTCCAACATAGATATACGATCACAATAAGAATTTAACACCAGATTTGAAAACAATCGGCAACAAGATTTAAGTTAATACTTTTAAGCAACACCAAGACAGATTAATACGATGGAACTAAAAACTGATTTAAACATGCATACAGGATGAATCATAACATTCATTTCATCTATTTTAATCTTTGATTAACCCCCGGAGTCTTAAATAGGCATGCACAGAACACGAATTAACGGGAAAGAGAAGAACATAGACGTGCCTGCTGTTTCAGATTTTGAAACTATAATCCACCGTCTCTAAAGTTTCTGACAACGTCCTAGCAACATTTAGGCAGCATATATATTCCTGCAGTGGTACGCATATATATATATATATATATATATATATATATATATATATATATATATATATATATTAATCCATATTAAGACAACCCTGCACATATAAAAAATTATTACATTAAAACCTTTTGAAATTCTTTTGTTTTGATAAAACTAAATCTCCATACTCCTCACAGCGATCAGACCACTAGAGCTAAATCACGTATGCCAAAGTCACTGCTTGAAATTCAACAGAAGAGTAGAGGAAAGCACAAATATAAAATGCAATCTCCGAGATCTCTACTCCTCTTAACTCTTTCAGTTTTTCAGTTATAGATGCATTTTATTTAAGATTGTGCAACACTGAAAATATGAAGAAAAAAAAGTAGTTTCTTAGGTGAAAAGAAAAGAACTCATTACCTTAAAATGGTAATAGCAAACCTGTCTCTCAGATTCTGGAATATCCCTCCACGTTTTGAAATTTAGTAGTGCTTCTTTATCTCTCGTGTGGATGCCAACTTCCGCCATCCATAATTTTCTATTTTTTCCTACGGGTTTAGTATACCTCATCCCAAACTCTACTGGAATTAGAACATCTTTTCCATAGAGTGCCTTAGCTTTTTGTAGGGCGACATTCTTCGTTTTTCCACGGCCTTGAAAAATAAATTTGTCATCTTAATTAAAACATAGGCATTTTACAAAAGAGCTTATGGTTAATCAATGATGAAGCATATTTATCACTTCTACTTGGTTGTGGCCTCGTCTATGAATTACTACCGTCACCTTCAATACTAGGCTGCTGATTTGTTAAATTACTACCACCACCTTCTCCATTCTGCTGTGTAGCAGGTAAACTTGTAGATGGTGCCTCAGTTTAAGGCAAGCTAGCAGGTAAACTTATAGCTGGTGGCTCAGTTTGAGCCACTCGGGACCTTAATACTCTACGCATTGGAGCCTCAGAGGTGTCCATAATTATTAAACTACCATGCTTCATAATATAAACAGAAAATGTAAATTTAGTGATCTATAATTAGTCTAATAGAAATCAAATGGCAAAAACTGTAGCAACATAAAAAATGAGATCTATCTCAAGGAATCGGATTCCATGATATGTCCAGCTATCATATTCTATTAAAGAAGCAAACAAGATATGAACATTTTCTGCTATATATGATTGGAGGATGGTCAGTTACAGCTAAAAACTTTATATAAGTTGCATATCTATTAAAGGAGCAAACAATCAAAACAAAGGGGAACCAAAAGCTCAAGGCACAAAAGAAAAAGCCAAACTAGCTACAAACTAGAACTAGATCAAAACAAAGGAAATAATGTCCATGCTCAACATTACGAAAGTTTCACATGTCATCCAAATCAGTATCATCTTCGAATAGTAATTCTAGTTTCTCATTTGAACTATTGTCAATGTCAGTTCCATTATCATTCTCGACAACCCAAAAGTCCTCATTAATTGCTGCTTCACCCCTACATTTTTGAATCATTTCAGCATCAAGAATTTCACTTTCCAAATCACCCCTGTTCAAAGGGAGTGGATCCATGTCCAAGTTTGCTTTAACCACCCTATCAACGATGCTTGGTTCATTCTCTTGGTATGCTGGAGAATTGAGCATTTCATCTTCTACTCCGGCTTCAACCTCTACTTCAAGTACATCAAACGAGCTTCTATTTGTTATATCTTAAACTACCTCCCATGTTCCTTGCAATTTGTTGTATTTGACGTAGAAGCATTGTTTTGCTTGATTTGCTAATACAAATGGCTCATTTTTGTATACTTTACTAGCTACATTTACGCTCATGAAATAGGTATCTTTATGTATACCACTCCTAACATCAAACTAATCATATTTGAAAAGAAAAACTTGTCTACCCAAAAGATATTGTAACTCAATGATATCTGTTAGAACACCATAGTAATCTTCGCTTTCTCCTTTCACTAACACACCATTATTCTGTGTTCGTCGATTTCGCTCCCTTTCCTTAGTATGGAACCTAATCCCATTTACAATGCAAGCAGAATATCGACTTACTCGACTTAGAGGTCCACATGCTAAAGAATACAAATCATCACTAGTTATTTCCCTTTGATGATGACGCATTTCCTTTATCTATTGAAAAAATATAATGTTAAGCGAATGAATGACATCATTTAAATTAATGAAAGAATATGATTTAATTAATTCCAATATGTACACGATGGACTTACTTGTTTTTCAAACCATCTCGAAAATTCTTTTGCATGTCTTTTAGGAACATTGCACGGATCTTGTCTCTCAAGTTCTACCTTGTGTTTTCTAAGCAATTACATGATGTTAAGATATAATTGTGTACATGTATTAACAAATACACCATATATTCACATAATCTAATAAGGCATAACATGAAATGAGTTACTTACTCTCCGTATGACTCAACTATTCCAGAATTTTGTAACACGTACAATCGGGTCATCTCTAACTCCTCACGAGGTAATATCTCCAATTTTTGCTCCCCTAGAGGTCGAACCACTTGCTTTAGATCTGAACTAGTAGACCAATTATTGTTGTAGTCCCTCTTACTATTTCTTTCTTCTCGATTGAACCATGTCTCAATCCCTCCGAGAAATTTTGAACAAAATGTGACGCATTCACTATCCACGTAAGCTTCAGCAACGGACCCTTCAGGACGTGCTTTGTTATGCACACACAATTTGAGAGTACACAAAAATCTATATAATCATTAAAAGTATTACAGAATTTTATATCTATAACAGACCGATAAAACTTGTCATAAAAATAATGTTGGTGTACTCAAAAAATACAGCACCAATGGGGTACATCCACCGATATTGTGCGGGGCCTACGATGATGGCTTCATGAGGCAAATGCAAAGCCAAGTGGACCATAATGTCAAAAAATGACGGAGGAAATATCATCTCCAACTTTCATAATACAACAGCAATGTCCCTTTCTATTGCCTCTAAGACATCCAGTTTAAGAGTTTGACAACACAATTCTTTAAAGAATAAACCAAGCTTTGCTATTGTGTTACAAATATTAGAATCTAAGAATCCTCGTATAGCTATAGGGAGGAGACGCTGTAAGAGAACATGTGAATCATGACTTTTCAATCCAGATATCTTACAGTTATTAACATTCATACACCGACTTATGTTTAATGCATAGCCATCTGGAAACTTAACCGATTTTAGCTATTCACACAGTTGCCTTTTATCATTCTTTGACATTGTGTAGCGTGCTCATGGCATCTCAAATTTTTCACCATTACGCCTAAGTTGGAGTTCTTTTCTAATTTTCATTACTTCTAAATCCAACCGACTTTTGAATGTGTCTTTCATTTTTCCTTCGATGTCCAATAATGTCCCCAACACATTATCGCATATGTTTTTCTCTATATGCATAACGTCCAGGTTATGCCGCAACAAAAAGGTCTACCAATAAGGTAGTTTAAAGAAAATACTCTTCTTTGTCCAGTTAAGTTCAAATTCCTCACGAGTTCACTTCTTGTTATTTGGTCCCTTTCTGAAACTAACCTCAAGTATAAGTTTAAGTTGCTCCAAAATATCATCACCTATTAACTAATTTGGTGGGCCTTTGTCTTGCTTCTCACCATTAAATTGCTTGTAACGCTTCCTGAAAACATGATCTAACGACAAAAACATACAACTTCTTAAATAACATATCTTCCATCCGTGTTTCAAATAACAAGAGCATGTTTGTTCATTACAATTCGAACATGCTAGATAACCCTTTATCATCCATCCATATGCCATCACATAGGCAAAAAAGTCAATAATGGTCCAAATCATTGTTGCATGTATTTTAAAGTTACATTTAATATAGGCATCACACGTCATCACACCATCCCTCCACAATTCTTTAAACTCTTTAACCAAAGGTCGCAAATAGACATCAATGTCATCACCAGGTGATGTTGGACCAGGAATAAGCAATGACATAAACACATATGGTTCAATCATATATATCCAAGGTGGCAAATTGTAAGGCACAATCATCACAGGTCACATACTATAGGCATTGCTCATGTTACCAAATAGATTGAATCCATCAGTTGCTAATCCGATACGAACATTTCGAGGATCTGCAGCAAACCAACTATGCCTATTATCAAAATCCTCCTAAGCTTTTGAATCAGCTAGATGTCTTAACTCAGTTGTCTCCTTCATACTTTTCTCCTTATGCCACCGCATGTCTAAGGCTGTATCCTTCGATATAAATAACCGTTGTAGTCTTGATTTTAAAGCGAAATGCCGAAGAACCTTTTGAGGGATTTTCTTATCCTTACCTTTGTGAGGTTTATACCTCGACTCACCACATTGTGGACAGTTTTCTTTATCTGCATTCTCCTTCCAAAATAGAACACAATCATGTTTACATGTATAGATACACTCGTATCCGAGACCCAAATCTCGCAACAAGCTTTTAATCTAGTAATGAGATTTTGGTAACACATTGCCATTAGGGAGCATTTCCTTATATGCCTCAAGCATCATGTCAAATGCTTTTTTGCTCATTCGGCTTGAAACCTTCACATGGAACAACTTTAATATTGCTGACAATTTAAAGAATTTTGTACAACCTGGCCACAATTCACAATGTGCATCTTTTAACAATTTATCAAAGCTTCCTCCTCCCACATCAATTTCAGGCGAATCTTCTTGTTGTGCATTAGCGAAGGTTCCCATTTGTACGTTATCCAACTTCTCAAATACATTATCTATATTTCCATCTTCATCTTGGATAGCTCCCTCACTAACATTAGCATCATTAATAACATTATTGTTGCTTTGAGGAACCTCCCCGTGATATATCTAATTGGTATACTCCCTGTCCATCCCATAACTTAAGAGATGCTGCTCAATTTCTTCAATTTGAATATACCCCATAATGTTTTTGCAACGACAACACGGACATCGAGACCTACGGTCTGACGTTGCATGACGACTAGCCACCTTAATGAAGCTTTTTTTGCCATCAAAATACTTTCGACTACCCCTAGTGTGATGATGAATCCAAGAATTATCCATGTAATTGGCTATACAAAAAAAAAAAAAAAAAAAAAAAAAAGTTCAGTAGTTATAAACAAAAATCATTTGATGCATGTGTTAAATATTTTATAACTCTTTCAACTTCTTCCATGACAGGTGGCTAGTCCTATCCCATTCAATAATGTAAATCTATATTACAATTCCAACTTACATTATCATAGAGAGAAGTAGTTTCTACAATTGATCAGATAACATGTTGTTTATGTATTAAAACCATGTTCACTCTCTCCAAAAGACTTGTTTTTCCATAAATCATGATTCAAAAATAAAAACAAAAACACCTTAATGCATAAATCCTTGAATTAATTTAAGAGAATTTACAACACATGTAACAAAAATGATGATAGATATAAAGATCCTGACACTAACTACAAGTTCTAAAGAGATTGAGTAAATATCATGGTAGAGCTTAAAAATTAAGCAAGTTAAAAGAAGACAAAAACAAAAGTTTTAGAACTTCTACCAATAAAAAATTTGAAAATCCAATAACTCGTTATGACTAAAAGCAAGCAAGTTCCAACTTCTTTTCAGTAGATTACATCTTCTCGTCAAAGGAAAAAGAAAAAAATGTCAGAAATGTAGACATTGTTGGTTCTTAATATAACAAAATAAAAAATTGTATACAATGCATAGGCAAGTAGGTGACTTAAAAAATATAAAGGACTCGCTCCCAGAATGCTAAAAATTGTTTAAAAAGTTTATAGTTATACATCCCAGAATGCTAGCAAACTAGAAAGCATACCAGCACCCAATTTTTAAAATGGATAAACAAAGACGTAAAACCATGCACAACATATACCAAAGTTAATGTGGAACAAAATGATAATAAATGCACACACACACACACACATGTTTTAAGTCTATGTATTAACCACATAGACCAAAAGTTGAAAGTGAAACAAAGATCAGAAAGGGTATAGCAATATGATAATACAAATGCCCACACACACACACACGTATGTACAAAGCCATAATAATCAAAAAATCAAATATACAGATATAAGAAGCAACGGAAAAAAAAATTAAATATAAAAAATAAAAAACACTTACAACACCAGTAGAAGAGTAAGTAGTGACACTAAACTTCTGGTCGCTCTGGTAGTCCTTGTAGAGAAGACCTGCAGCACGAAACAAACAAGCAACTAATAGAAAACATTCCAAACTATCAATCCAATCAACTAAAACAAATAAATGGGATATTCCAAAAATATAAAGTACTGGCACTTTACGTGTTTAACTAAACATTTTGAGCTAGTGCAAAATTTACAAATCCATTGAATTCACAATATTTTTTATTTCATAAATTTGCATACCAAATGCATAATGTTAAAATACTGATACATATTCTTATATCATAGAGGGGCAGAGCATATGCCTATTGTTATTGTGCCAGAAAAACATCACACACACACACACACACACACACACACACACATACACACATATATCATGTTAATTAACATAGCATATTTCTAAATCCTAAATTACAACACCATTATTTGCCCTTTGTGAATGGTCACTTCTTTGTTAACGAAACAACTATGTTGAAGCACTTCAGTTTCTCCACGAACTGATTCTCAGCCACATAATGTACAAATCTTGCAAAGAGTTTGTCAATCACAATGTCACCAAAATGACTAGCCAAGATAGGCGAAATTTGGCCGCCATCATATTGGAGGCGTATTTTTTTTTTTGGTCTTTTAGGGACGGAAATGTTAGGACTATCACCAAAAAGGGTGTCTTTAGGGACAGTTTATGTGTTGTCCCTAAAGGACTGTCAAAAAAATCAAAACTACCCAATTATTTTTCTTAACATCTTCAAACACTCTGATTTAGTTTAGAGACAGAGAGGAATCATGCATCCACTGATTACAGACTGAAAATTCTTTATTAATCAAAGAGAAGCTAAATGTCTCTTCATCGTCAAACAACATGGACAATTTAAAGTTCCTTAAAGACAATAAATAATAAAAAAAAAATAAAAAAGAAGAAGAAGAAGAAGAAGAAGAAGAAGAAAAAGAAGAAGAAGAAGAAGAAGAAGAAATTTAGCTTCTTTTCATCGTCAAACAACATGGACAATTAAAAGTGTATCATGATTATTGAACTGACAATACACTTAATTCAATGCATTTGCATAACAAGAAGAAAGAAGTATGTTCATCCAACTATTTCCCTAAAGTATGCATCATGGAACATAATCAACTAAGTAGTTTAATAAAGGAACAAGCTGCCACAGTTTTCCTCAAGTTTTAATAACCAAACAACCAATTTAAATTTGGATTTGCCCCCCATCCTCTTTCTAAAATATGTTTGATTGCACTTATATTCCTTGAAAGATGTGAATTTTCACTCCATCAAATTCGTCGATTTACTCAATTCCCATAGCACAGTCGATAGATTTTCTAAGTTTTAACCAGTGCAAAGGTGCCTTGATCTTTAAATAGAATAAGATTTCTAAAGGACTCCCTCCCAAATCACAACCAAAAATTAAAAAAAAAGAAAAAAAGAAATAAAGACAATTGAATATTTGAAGGATGCAATAACAATGAAATATATAATTGAACATTCCACTGTCTAATCAAATGACCGATAAGAGTTTATTTCCTTTAATCTGTAACTGAAAGCGTTAAAACGAGAACGCGTGTATATTACTAATCAGCAGTCCAAGCCAAAGACGGACAACAGACAAACCAGGTAGCTACTCATATAATTATTTATTTATTTATTTTATAAAATAAAGACGCACATCCACGGAAAACCACAGCTAAGACAGACCCTTCTCCAACTTACTAGTTCAGTAGAGCCAAGGATGAACAGAATCATTCATATCAGCAGGGTTAGGAACATTCTGATCGGTAGCTCCAATGAAGTTACCAAATGGAGATGGTGTTAGGACATAACCCTCAATGGAAAGCTCCTCAACTCGCTTAGCTATTTTGTTCCTCAGTTCTTCCAAATCTGCAATTTCATTTGCAATTTTGAAACCTTATAATATGTATTTGCATTAAAAAACTACAGAAAGATCCAAAAAAAAAAATTAAATAAAACACTATTAATCAAAAAATCAAAACATATATATATATATATATATATATATATATATATATATATATATCGAAAGGGATAGACGAACCTTGATTTTTTGCTCCAAATTGATGTGTAATGCACATCCACGGAAAACCGCAGCTAAGACAGACCCTTCTCCAACTTATTGGTTCACTAAAGCCAAGAATGAACATAATCATTCATCTTAGCTGGGTTAGAAACATTCAGATTGATAGCTCCAATGGAGTTCCCAGATGGAGATGGTGTTGGGACAGAACCCTCAATGGAAAGCTCCTCAACTCGCTTGGCTATTTTGTTCCTAAGTTCTTCCAAATTTGCAATTTCACTTATAATAAATCTGCAATTTCACTTGCAATTTTGAAACCCTATAATACGTATTTGCATAAAAAAAAAAAAAAAAAAAAAAAAAAAAAAAACAAACTACAGAAAGATCCAAAAATAAATAAATAAAACACTCTTAATCAAAAAATCAAAACTAACAGATACATATATAGAAAGGGGGATAGACGAACCTTGATTTTTTTGCTCCAAATTGATGTGTATAGTCGTCTAAAATTTGAAAAAATTATGGCTCCAAATGGCTGTTTGTTGTGTCCAAACCAGAGAGAGAACTCGAATAGAGAGGCGAACCAAAGAGATACTCGAATAGGAGACTAGAGAGGCGAACCAGAGAGACAACTCGAATAGGGAGACTATATCGAATCTACAGCATCATCTTGTCTGCATCTTTTTCATCTAAAGAGATAGAGCAGAGAGAGAGACAGGGCTTCGACGCGAGAGAGAGAGAGAGCAGAGAGAGAGCAGAGAGAGAAAGCTGAGGCTTATGTGTAGAGGAAGTTGGACGCATGATATATATACCTATTGACAAAAGCTACGTCGTTTTATAATGTCACATTAGTCTCACTACTTTACCATCCCTAAAGACTAATTTTTAATTATGTTTTCTATTAAAAAAAACCATTTATGTGGCGCGAAGTTTCCCACCAACGGCACGGAGGGGGGAAAAAATTATTTGGGCCTTTAGAGACAGTAATTAAAGCTCGTCCCTAAAAATAGGGTCTTTAGGGACAGTATTTATGCCTAACAGGCTTGGCGTTCAGATCTACATTGAGGGAATGACAAGACACTGAGGGATCAATTCCTGGCATGTCAGAATGGCTCTGGGCAAACACATCTGCATTTTTAGACAAGAAATCAACTAACTGCAGTTTCTCTTCCTCGACGAGCCTTGACCCTACTCTTGTGGTTCTGTCTAGTCTTTGAAAATCAATTTGCACATCCTCGAAGGGCTCTTCAGTAAAGGCCAAAGGCTCTTCCTCTTCCCCAACCTCTTAGGATGGAGGTTCCTGTAATTGCTATCTCAGGATGTCAAATCGAACTAGTGTTTTTCCTTTCCCGCCGGCCTTCAGAGTTATAGAGTAACACTTCTTGGCTGTTGCTTAGTCTCCATGGATATCAATCACTTTGCTTCCATCTAGACTTAAGCAACTCATTATCTAGTGCAAAGTTAAGGGGATGCCTTGGACTCTATGAATCTACCCTCTTCCCATCAAGAGATTATAAGATGGGTAAATCTCCATGACTATAAAGCTTTCCATCAACTCTCTTTTAGCAGCAAGTACTGGCAGCTCGACCATACCAATAGGCTCCACCCACTTCCCATCGAAACTTAACAGTGGATTTCCTGTAGGCTTGAGCTTTTCTGGTGCAATTTCAAGCCGGTCAAACGTTATTCTTGTCATGACATTCGCGCTGCTTTCTGGATCAATCAAGACTCTCCGAACCAAGTATTCTACTACCATCAGGCTAATGACCAGGGGATCTTCATGAGGAACTTGAACTCATAACAGATCCATTCTGTCAAACCTTATCTAAACTGAGCTGTTTTGTCAGTGCAAAGTGTTTACACTGCCTATTCGCTTCTTTATTTGAGCTTGTAGAAGATGTGTTCGGAGCAGTTCTTCTGACTCTTCGGTCGGCTCAAGCTGGCCATGAATTGCATTTATAATACGAACGGGCTGAGCATTATGGTAGTTCGACTTCTGATTTCGTTTCACTTACTCAGCCAGTCGGTTCTGCTCCTCTATTGGTTCTTGGATGTAACCAGCAAACTCTTTTTTTGCTATCAGCATCTCCACTTGTCTTCTTAAGTTCCTGCATCCATTAGTTAGATGTCTAAAATCGCTATAAAAATCATAATGTTTGGATTGATCTCTTTGTTTGAGTGGTTACTTGATCGGCAAGGGAGTGCAAAACTTATCTTTATTTTCTTGAATCAATCTCGCCAAGGTGACTTTGAGTGGAGTGACCAACTCCTCTTCTCTAAGCCTCTTTTCTGCTTTCTAGGGAGTCGGATGCTGTGGTGTAACTTGCTTCTGTCTAATCTTTGTTTTGGTTTTTTCCTTTGTTGCAACCATGGACGTCTTCCTCACGTTGGCAGCTTCTTCTTCCTTTAAGCGCACAAAACCATTAGCTCTTTCATTCAACTCATCCATGGTCCTCGGCATATTCACCACTAGATTTGTGTGGAATAGTGTCCCTCAGTTCATATTCACCACTAGATTTGTGTGGAACAGTGTCCCTCAGTTCATGGCCAACTTGAATGCTTGAACCGCTGTGGATGGATGACACTCTATTATCATGCTCTTTTCCAGGTTAAATTTTGTGAGAAAAGCTTGGAGATGTTCGCCTTCTCGCTGTTTCATAGTAAACAGACTTGATATATCCTTGGCTAGACTCTTGTTTCCATAGTACTGGCTTATGAATCTATCACATAAGTTCTGGAAACTCCCTACCGATCCTCTTGCCAAGTTCTTGAACCAGTTGAGCACCGGTCCGGTTAGGCTCGTAGGAAAAACTTTGCACATTAGAGGATCATTTTCTGTGTTCAGAGTCATTTTCAGCTGGATATGATAAATATGCTCGATCGGATCGCTCGTTCCATCGAACAAAGTGAAAACTGGCATTATAAATTTTCTTGGATTTGGAGCATTCAAGATCTCATCAGTGAATGGCGAATCGACAGTCCGAGCTGCCGAACGGAGAGCTTCATTTTCCTTCGGGAGTATCTTCTGCACAACAGTCTCTTGCCTGAACTCCTAAAATCATACGTGGCCATTGACGGACGGTAGAGCGGATCGAACGTCCTTTCCTCCATTAATTCCCTCAGCCATGATGACAAAGCCTTATTGCGACTGAACTCTATTGCTTTTTCTCATCTGATCTTTTCGCGATATGGATCGAACTCCATGGCTTCTTCTCTCCTGATCCTTTCGCAATGCAGATCCAAATGGACAGATCATTCTCGATCTTCTAGATGATGAACATTGGATGGAAAATCATCCGGCCTGAAGTTTTCACGGCGTGAATCTAGGGGAATGTTTCCTTCATGTTCGTCCTGGTGAGCGTTATTTGGCTGCAAGATTCTCTCTCTTGTTGGAGGTGGTCGTGGAGGTACTAGAGCATCCCGTCGCTCTATTCTAGTTCTTAGTTCCATATTTTCTCTCCTTAGTTCATCAATTCGTCAACCTTCATGTGTTGTTCATTTTCTTGTGGATAAGAACTCTCACCTCCTATCATCGTTCCAGATCGAAGCAGAGTCATTAACTGAGAATTCTTGATCAGATCTGAACTCTAATGACGTGAACGTACTAGATCTGGCCTTAGACTGGCCAAATTCTGATCTCCATCAGCTAGATCTAAATCTTTGCTGCCGTGAACTCATTAGATCTAATTTTCGTCGATCAGGATCAAATCTCCTCAAAATAGATCGCAATCTTCTAAATCAATATCTAATTTCGAGAAATCAAGCTTCTACCTCACAAATCAATCCTAATCCTCTGAAAGAATGATCAATTTGCTTACAAAGAATGTGATGATCAACTAGATCCTTCCTTTGATTCCTATAGACAGTGCCGTTGAAGATGTAAGAAATAAACTCTCTCAATTTAGAAAGATAAATCCTTACACTTCAAAATATGTTAACCATTTTTTCCTCTTTTTTCACTTTATTTAAAGACCTTTACAATTGTTCTAGAAGCTTCCTATTTAGTTCTTCACGTTGGGATGGTCCTTTGGGCTCATCTTGGATTTAGGCCCATTTCTTTCGCTCTGGGGTTGGGCTTTTGGATCGCTCTTAGTGGATACTGGGCCTGATCAACAGTTATTTGATCGGGTCAAGTGTTCTCCTTAGATCCAATCTTTAGCAATTTGGGTTGTGTCTGGCCCAGGTCTTTTTTGGTATCCTCAGTTACACCCATGTGTTTTGTCCAATCTTTAAAGAGACCCCTCTACATTTGTAAAAAATCAGTCTAACCTCTTACTTTTTCTGACACATATCAATCTCCCCCCTCAGTCAACAGTCAAAGTTGGTGAGACACTTTTTACCGACATCAGCAAAAAATTAAATTTAAATACCCAAATTGCCTCTGGTTATGTTTAGTGGTTGGAAAGAGAGAAGCCAAACCACTTTTAGTTTTAGAGAGAGAAAGAGGTGGCCGGACCAACTGGCGCAGATCAACTTCACGCAACGGGCGAACTTGTCCACCATCCATCTTAAGCTTGTTGACAGAGGCCATGAATAGGAGAGAGTTGCAAATAGGAAGAGAAAAGTTAAAAGGATGCTTGGAGCTCGCCGATCAGGAACAACCAAATTATATAGCCTCGCAGATCACTAAACCACCATTCGCTTCATTCCATGGCCTCGCAGATCACTACACCACCGTTCTCTTCGTTCATGAAACCCCTTGTGGAGGTAATTTCAGTCGAACCTTGCTTCTTCGCTGTTTAGTCTCGGTATATCGGACTCCACCCTCCGTCGGTGTTCTATTGGGTTTACTTCTGTTTGGCTACATTCAAAGGGTAGATCAGTTACCATGTCTTCGTCATTTACGCATATGCAGTTGCAGCTCTCCTTATCCTCCCCTAATGTAATACCTTCTTTAGCCTATACTTTTTGAATTTTCTCTTTCAACGACCCTATTTTACATGGTCCAAATCATTCCCAACATAAGCGTCTCTCACGTATTTAAGGTTTCAACATTCTCACAACCACCATATCCTGTAACGAACCGGTCATTTGCCTTCCTTTCCTTTTTCCTGAAATTTTACAAATGAATTTTTTTCGTTTAATTTTCCTTTCTGAGCTCTGTTTCGTGTCGCTTAGTGTCATCTCGAGTGCTCAGAATTGGTTCCTGAGACTCTTTTCCGTGGATTGACAACTTCCTTTGAGGACCGAGTCATTTTCACATTTTTCGTTTTTTGACACTATGCGCTATTTCGTCCTTTTCCCTATTCTGTCTTATCTCAGTTTGTCAGTTTTTGGCACAACCTCACTTCTCATGCTTGGAGTTGGTTTTTGACTTCACGTGTCTTCATCTTGAGTGGTTTCTACGAAATACGTATCTTTACTTTTATACGAAAGTACTTTGGTTGCTTCCGGTGTCTATAGGGGCATGGATGCAAAGTTCTTTGAAATTATTTTCTTTTCTTGGGGTATTTTTCATAAATATCTTTTGAAGATATTTTATTTTAGGGGTTTTTAATAAAATATTTTTGGAAGATATTTTCATTCTGGGCCATATGTGCAGTTTTCACTTTTTGGAGGGGCCATTGTGTAATTAATGAAAGTTATTGCAAAATGTCTTGTTTTGAGCCTGGATCCTCGTACGGGATTCATTTTCACATTTCCTCGAGTTGTGTACTCTTGGAATTTACTCCTGGTCGATGTTTTCCAGTTTCAGGGTTTCTGGCCTCAGTTTTCGCCAAACTTGTTTTGGGCATAACTTTCTGCTCGGGACTCGGTTTTTG